CGGTTTCCCATCCAATTCCAATGTATCTTCTAAATTTTGCGCGTTGAGCGCATCCATGACTTCGCATCGGCAAAGTCCAAAATTGTTTGTGCCATTAAACTTTTCCACGTCAATATTCATCGAGTGGATATTCAAGCTTTGGACGGTCTTCACGCCGGAAGTACTGCCCACAACTCCTTTCTCGGCCATAATCCTCAAAGCACCACCAAACCAATGCGGAAACAAACGAGAAATAGATCCAAACTGAAAAAGACGAGATTTTTACCAAAAAGATCTCACCTTTTATCACCAAACGAAGCCCTAGATGAACTTCCAAAGCGATATACTCCTCCAAATAGCCCAAGCGTAGCCCGAGCTCTGATACCACTTGTTAACCAAACCAACAAACGCCGAGAGAAAGGCCAAACAAAACACAAACACCAAAGTTTTACGTGGTTCGGCAATTGCCTACGTCCACGGGGCAAGAAGGGGGGTGGGTTTTCACTAATAGAGAAGGAGAGTACAAATTGAGATTACAAATCGCTCAAACGAACCAACTAATCTCACCAACAAATCTCTCAAACTCTCAACCAATAACCCTAACAAATAGCTCAGAAAGATCTCTCTTTTCTGTGCTCCAAAATCCCCAGATTTGCTCCTACAAAACCCTCAAATCGTATTGGTATTTATACCTCCAAATAGCCCCCAATCAATGCTTAATCAAAGCCTAAACCAAGCCTTGGAAACCCTAAAAAAACGTGTCTCTATTTATAGCAAAACACAATCCCAAACTGATTGGGATTCTAAAAACGAGTCTGCCACACCCTGCACCATGGGTGTGGCAGAGGGTGTGGTGCAGGACAGATTCTACCACACCCATGGCAGACACCACACCAGGGTGTGGTGGAGTCTGTTTTGGGTTATTCTTCACGTTTTTCACAATTCCTTCGCCGTTTTCACAGTTCTCCACCTCGGCGAAGTGTTCCCAACACTGAGCCGACACCAACATGAGCACCAATGTGTCGTCTCTCTAAACTCGGCTGCACCAATGTGGTTGCCTACGTAAATTATGAAGAAAACCTACATAAATAAATCTACTGTAAGATATGTTTTCTGTATTTGCGACTTAATTAGATATTTATCAAACCATAAGTAAATGTCCTTTACCTATAAGGAGATCTAAGTAAAATTTGACAAACATGATATTGATTCTTTATAAGGAAAACATGCTTATAAGTTAAAATGAGGAGATCATAAGTATTTTGTCGTTGTTATTGTACTACCGGACGCTGTGTTCTTCTTACTTGCTATGTACCTGCAGCAGTAGTAGTTGCGTTTGCTGGGAAATTAATGCTATCATTGTAGTTAAGTTTGTGCCGGTCCAGAAAGTAATAATGTGATAATAAATGAGGCGCAACATTAGACTGCAGGCTAATTTGCAGCACAGTAACAGTTTCCAGAAAGTAATAATGTGATAATAAATGCAGCACAGTAACAGTTTCCAGAATTACGAAACATTAGACTGCAGGCTAATTTGCTATTATTATTGATGAATTGATAAACAAATAGTTAGCGGCATACCAATTTACTGATGGAGCGCAATCGACTCGGTGTCAACACAACTCTGTCACATACGCTTGGAGACCGCATTCCAGCACCATGGTGTGTGAGGCAAACTTATGCCATGGGCCCTAGGGGTGGGTGCGGGCCAGTTCCACCTGACCCGTACTGGCCCGGTAGGACTTATAGCCAGGCAGGTTCAGTCCAGACCAGAGCAGGTCTTGGTAGGGCTGTCCATTTGGGCCCAAGACCTGGGCCTAGCCCAGTGTCCGGACCGGACCAGGCCGGGCCTGGGATCGGCCCAGATTTCCGGGCCATGCCCGGGCCCCGTACTGGCCCGGTAGGACTTATAGCCAGGCAGGTTCAGTCCAGACCAGAGCAGGTCTTGGTAGGGCTGTCCATTTGGGCCCAAGACCTGGGCCTAGCCCAGTGTCCGGACCGGACCAGGCCGGGCCTGGGATCGGCCCAGATTTCCGGGCCATGCCCGGGCTCCAGTTCAAACGGCCATAACGGCCATATTTTGGCTTGTGACCAAAATACCCCCAAAAACAATCAAAAACGACCAAAATTTAAGAGTATTTAGGTCATTTGGCTAGGGGTTGTCTCCATAAATAGAGCGAGTTTTTATTTGTTTTTCTTATCCAAAACTCATCTACTTCTCTCTAATACTCTCTAATAATTTCTTATTCTCGCTTTTGCTCTCTAATTCTTCAATCAAATGGCTTTCTCCTCTGATTATGAAGGGCAAATCCCAACTCCCGGTGTTTAAACGAGTGTTAATACTTCTACTACATGAACTATAGTTACACTTCCTACCGATGTTGATGACAAATCAGGTGGCGATGATTCTGCACCTAGAGCTCCTAAAAAGCCGAGATCTGATGTGTGAAACTTCTTCGAAAAGATAGAAGTCACTAGTGATCAACACAATAGGCTTCTCACCCAGAAAACTAAGTGTGCGTTGTGCGGTCATATTTTCCAAGTTCGTCATAAAAGCAGCACCAACCACCTCAAACGCCATTTAGACAAGCACAACATAGGTCAGGCAACACCTCAAAGTGATATCCGACAATCTTTATTCTCTCAATCATCATCCTCCAGTAGTCTCGGTAGTTAAAACTATGAAGCAATTAAAGCCAGGAAATGCGTCATCGGATTTATTATTCTTAAAAACCTTCCTTTTAAATTAGTAGAAGATGATGAATTTAAAGATATGATTACAGATGGTTTTTATCCCACGTTTAAAAAAAATTCTCATTAATCTTGTCAACGTGATATTTTAAAATATTATCACGAGAAACAAGCAAAAATAATTTTTTATTTTCAAAATTTAAATTGTAAATTTTTTTTAACTTCTGGATATTTGGACATCTAGAGCACAAATTGGTTATTTATGTATCACAGCACATTGGATTGATGATAACTGGCAAATGTTTAAAAGAATTATTTCTTTTATTGCATTTGAAGATTCACATAGTGGTATTAATATTGCAAATTTAATAATAGAAAAACTTATAAAATTAAAAAATTTAAAAAAAAAATATTTTCTCTTTCACTAGATAATACAAGTAAATAATAATATAGTTGTTGATCATATCAAATCATCTTTATTATTATCATGCCATGGTGATATTTTTCATATTAAATATATGTGTCATATTTTAAATTTAATTGTTCAAAGTGCATTTGGTGAAATTAAATCCATAATAGAAAGATTAGGACAATAGCTTATGCTCATAATACTTCTGAACAAATACTTAAAAGATGAAAACAACTGTGTAAAAGAAAAAAAAATTAAACCCAGATTAATTCCAAAAGATATTGACCATAGGTGAAATTCTACCTATGCAATGCTAAATGTAGCAATAGAGTATAAAAAATTATAAATAATTTTATTGCTTTCTATATTTTTAGTTCTAGCTCTGGTAGTATGCATGGAATAACTAAGGATGAATGGTTAGTTATATATAATGTAAAAGAGATGTTACATGTTTTTTATGATGCTACTATGTTATAATCTGGTTGT